AGGGATTCTGCATGAGACTTCTTGCGTAGGCACCCCTCAGCAAAATGGGCGTGTGGAACGCAAACATCAGCATATTCTCAATGTAGCTCGTGCTTTACGTTTCCAGGCTCACCTGCCTCTTCCTTTTTGGGGTCATTGTGTTTTGACTGCGGTCTATCTGATAAATCGGACTCCTTCCTCGGTTTTACATAGTAAAACCCCATATGAGATTCTTTATGGTTCGGCTCCTTCCTTGTCTCATTTGCGGGTCTTCGGTTGCCTTTGTTATGCTCATAACCAGGCTCGTAATGGTGACAAGTTTGCTGCTCGGAGTCGTCGTTGCCTATTTGTCGGTTACCCTTTTGGCAAAAAGGCGTGGAGTTTGTATGATTTGGATCGTCAGATTTTCTTTGAATCTCGTGATGTGGAGTTTCTTGAGAATGAATTTCCATATCAGTCAGACTCGTCTGAGCCAGATTCTTTGCCACCGCCTCTTGTTGTGCCGGTTTCTTCTGCACCGGATGATGATGATGATGTTCCAGTTGTCTCTTTGCCTCATGTTTCTCCTAATACTGGGTCTTCTGCAACTGATATGGACACGTCTGACGACAGGGGGGGTTCCGTTACCACTACCCCTCCCACTCTTCCAGTGGAGCCCTTGGGTCGTGGTCATCGGACTAAGGTTCCTTCCACTCGGCTGAAGGATTTTGTNGGTTGACACTGTCCGGCCCTCGACTGTACCCCCCACTGCTTCTCCCCAGTCGTCTCCATCCTCCGGTACGCCGTATCCCATAGCACATTATGTCTCTTGTGATTCATTTTCTCCAGCTCATCGAGTTTTTTTGGCTGCTGTCGCCTCCGCTGTTGAGCCTCGCACTTTTGCTGATGCCGTGACTAATCCTCGATGGCGAGCCGCTATGCAGGATGAGATTCATGCCTTGGAGAATAATGGCACATGGGATGTGGTTTCTCTTCCATCTGGAAAGCGTGCCATTGGGTGCAAGTGGGTCTTTAAGATCAAGCATAAGTCTGACGGTTCCGTTGAGCGCTATAAAGCGCGTTTGGTGATTTTGGGCAATAATCAGGTGGAAGGTCTTGACTATCATGAGACGTTTGCACCCGTCGCCAAAATGGTTACAGTCCGGTTATTCTTAGCTGTGGCTGCTGCTAAGCATTGGGAAGTTCACCAGATGGATGTTCACAATGCTTTTCTTCATGGTGATTTGGCCGAGGAGGTTTACATGAAGTTTCCTCCTGGTTTTCGCTCTGGCGTTGATGGAAAAGTTTGTCGTCTTCGTCGTTCCCTCTATGGCTTGANACAAAATCCTTCAGCCGAGTGGAAGGAACCTTAGTCCGATGACCACGACCCAAGGGCTCCACTGGAAGAGTGGGAGGGGTAGTGGTAATTAAGCAATGGACAATTCACAGGAAGATAGCAATTGGCGTACACAGTAACAATTGGAGAATTGATGATGGAGAATTGCGCAAAATAGCAAGAGAATTGATGATGGAGAATTGCGATCCAAAAATATTTACCAAATGCTAAGAATTATTACGCAAGAATTATCCAAGGCTGGGGAATAATTCACATAAGAAGAAAAAAAATGTGATCGTTCAGACAGACACAATCACGATGACGATCAAATCTGACTGGAAAACAAAATTGCGATCGAAAAAGAAGAAATTAGTCTCTGATACCATGATACGAGAGAGACGAGACAAAGTTGGGAGTGAAAATCATCTCAATCATCTGATACAACTCTGTATTAACCAAGAATATATACAGAAGAATTAGGGCTACCGATACCTAAAGATAACCTAAGACTAATATAGTAAATACACAAACATACACAATAACAGGATGTTTTAACTGTTTTTGACTCTTGTGTATTTTCAGTTTGGTGACTTGGTTTTAATGTGGATGACCATGTTGGTCTTTGAGGGGGTTCCATTTGGAAACTCTCGGCTCTGGACTGTCTAGCATGTAGGTTAGATAAGAAAGTGTTGGTATCAGTTGATATCCCTTGTGTAAATTGGTTTGAGTTTAATCTAATGTGTTTTTATTTGANTTAGGTTACAATTACCCTAAATATCCCTAAGGCTAAAAGAATACAAATATAATACATAATAACACCCCCCCTCAAGTTGGAGCATGCGGATTCCGAATGCCCAACTTGCCAAGAAAGAAATCAAATTCACGTTTCCCAAGCGCCTTGGTAAAGATGTCAGCCAGTTGTGCGCCAGAGGGAACATGAGTAGTAGAGATGAGACCCTGCAGAAGAG